GGTGCTGAACCTGTGGGACTGTGGCGGTCAGGACACCTTCATGGAAAACTACTTCACCAGCTAGAGAGACAACATCTTCCGTAATGTCGAGGTTTTGATTTACGTGTTTGACATGGAGAGCCGTGAACTGGAAAAGGACATGCATTACTACCAGTCTTGTCTGGAGGCCATCCTCCAGAACTCTCCTGATGCCAAAATCTTCTGCCTGGTGCACAAAATGGATCTGGTTCAGGAGGATCAGCGTGACCTGATTTTTAAAGAGCGAGAGGAAGACCTGAGGCGTTTGTCTCGCCCACTGGAGTGCGCTTGTTTTCGAACATCCATCTGGGATGAAACGCTCTACAAAGCCTGGTCCAGTATTGTCTATCAGCTGATTCCCAATGTTCAGCAACTCGAGATGAACCTAAGGAATTTTGCCCAAATTATTGAGGCCGATGAAGTTCTGCTGTTTGAGAGAGCTACGTTCTTGGTTATTTCCCATTACCAGTGCAAAGAGCAGCGTGACGTCCACCGATTTGAGAAGATCAGCAACATCATTAAGCAGTTCAAGCTGAGCTGCAGTAAATTGGCCGCTTCTTTCCAGAGCATGGAAGTTAGAAATTCTAACTTCGCTGCTTTCATCGACATCTTCACATCAAACACGTACGTGATGGTTGTTATGTCGGATCCGTCGATCCCTTCTGCAGCTACTCTGATCAACATTCGCAATGCCAGGANCGCCCACCGAGGCCCAGCCTGCGGCGCCCTCGCAGCCCTCGACCCCTCCCTCCGCGCTGCAGTTAGGCCGCACCCTGAGGCCCAGTCCGCGGCGGCCCCGGCGGGTGATGCCAGACACGGCCATGAAGAGAAAGGTGCTGCTGATGGGGAAGAGCGGGTCGGGGAAGACCGGCGTGAGGTCCATCCATTATCTTTGCAAACTACATTGCTCGGGACACCCGGTGCCTGGGTGCCACCATGGATGTGGAGCACTCCCACGTCCGATTCCTGGGGAACCTGGTGCTGAACCTGTGGGACTGTGGCGGTCAGGACGCCTTCGTGGAAAACTACTTCACCAGCCAGGGACAACATCTTCTGTAATGTCGAGGTTTTGATTGACGTGTTTGACGTGGAGAGCCGTGAACTGGAAAAGGACATGCATTACTACCAGTCTTGTCTGGAGGCCATCCT